TGAAAGAAACTAGTAGCTTTCCAGGTGTTAGAATCATCTGCAATGTCTGAGTGAATAACTAAAAAGTTTGCCACAACCTTCGTGGTACAAGAGTTTTAATAAAATAAAACATATTTTTCTTTCTCACTGAGATAAAGGCAAGGAGGTAGCGAGAAAAAAGGTGAAGAGAATAAAATAGTGTTTGAAATAATGTTAGCTGAAACCTCTGGATTTAAAGCCGCTGTCTGTCACTGTCCATGGTGCTGAGCCAGTGCTGCCATTCATAGACCGTGAAATAGATTGGAGCTACAGTTTTAACAGTACGTTTGCACTACAAATTCTCCATACACTCTATCTAAGTCCTATGAACCTTTACGAACCTTTCAGGCCTTTTCACGATGCAGAGAATGATGCATTCAGCGCCACTATCCATACAAGAGCCTTCCTCTTCATGCAAATAAGCATGTGCATGAGCAGTGTTTCATAACTTGCCATGTATTTTGTAGAGTGAAACCTATAATTGATGCACATGTGAATATGAAATTCATTCATTCAAGGCCAGTCAAGACCATATTGATATAGATAATTATGCTTAATTATGCAAACTGGCATTTATGTAGATCCTGCCATGCATCAATCATTGACTGTATCTGATAAGTTCAAGAGGTGAAGTTCTATACCTGACCCTGGCCTCTGTTCCTCTTGTTGAATTCTGGGAAGAAGAAAAAAACTGTAATTTGGGACCAATATAAAATCCCTGAAAACTGCATGTTTACTGAAGTGTATTCACCAGACATGCTTAACCTCTGTAAGGTCAGAATTAATTGGGTACTAAAAATATGTCGTTAAATAATAAAGATTTCTTTGTACTGCTGCTTCTGCTAATTAGTACAATAAAGATTCTTCACAGAATTTAACATTTTCATTGCTGTATCTATCTATCTATCTATCTATCTATCTATCTATCGCTATCTTTACATAGATTAAAAACAATATTGTAGAGAAAATGAAGAAAAATCTCTCATGACAAGCAAACGAACTGGCCAGTTATTTTCTCTCTGATACTGAAGCAAATTTGACATTTAAATGCCTTTTCAGTGAGTTGCTTAGTGTTTGTGGTACTAGAGGAACAGTGTTATCTATCAAAAATAGAAAACAAGGTGGTCACCCCTGTAAATAAGTCATATTACAGCATGATAAGAGCATATATTTGCAGGGGGTCATCCCAGTGGGAAGTGCCACGACGTAGCCAGTGAACTTTTTTGGTCACTAGGTGGTAGAGAAGTCAGCTTTGATGGATTATGTGCTGTTTGCTTTGTGTGTGTGTGTGTGTTTGTTCAGCCCTGATGTCTGTCAGAGTGAGTGGTCTTTAGGGATAGTGGTATTCCGAGAGCAACACTAACATCTGGTACTGCATTGTCTTTGTTATGGATACTTATTTATTTTCTACTTAATTGCATCTTTTTAGACAATCTAAAAAAATCATGCAGTTTTTCTCTCTTTTTTTTCTGCTGTGAATGGGGATCAAAACACAATGGGTCTCCCTTGTCAGTGCCATCAGGACCATTGTTTCCCAGAAAGACAGAGCTAATTTAGCTTCAGTGCTTCTTATTGGCTTTGTGATTTTTGTTTCCTTGTTTTTGTCATTTCTCTGCGGGATAGTTTGCCTGCACAGCTGTGGAGACTTGGAAACTGCCTGGCAGGAGGAAATGCAGGTACTGTATGATCTCTTCAATTATGCCTGTGTGTAAGCATCCTCTTTGTTTGACGACAGGCAAGCATATTAGAAAGGTTGACAGGGTTCTTCTTCTTGTCTGTGCCAAGCTCAGCACCTGGATGGTTGCACAGGGCACCTCTCTCGATTGCTCTTCTTTCAGACAAAAGAGCAGTCAGAATAGTTCCAGCTGTGTTTGTGAAGTGGGGATGAACAACGCAGACACAAAGTAATCCCTCAAGGATCTTGCACTCCAAGAAACACTTTTCACTCAAATTATTTTCTTATTATTCCTGGATGGAAACTGCATTTTCCATTAAAAATGAGCGAGGATTTTTTTCCCCCTCACCAGGCTAGCAAGAATTGGAATCAAGGGGGGTGTGAACATTGCAAACGTGTCAGCAAAATCATTTCCAGACTAATGCAAAAAATATTTACCCAGAGTATTTCACACAGTACAACTGCTATTTTCCAGACCAGAGTGAATGCCATTTCTTTTTATTACCCAAATTATTCACACCACTGTCAAGGTGACTTGTTGGATTGTCACTGGCACACCACTTGAAACAGCTACCAAAAATATAGTCCCTTGAAGGAGCCAAATCAGTGACATAAGTCATGCATTGTATATAACAGCTTGGTGTCATGCAATATTCCTTTATACTGCGTGTTCATTATCCCATTAAACTGGATATATGGAGTGGCCCAGGTGGAACGTAGTCATGCATGAACATTTTTCACTGTCTGTTTTGTAGAGTGAGTCCAAAAGGAGAGCAACCATTGATATTCATGGCACAGCCAGTATGAGGTGTGGCAGTATTTTTTTTGTGTGTGCGAATCTGTGAGTGTATATGGTAATACCAGAGCAGCCTCAAACCTCAACTGCAGTCGGGGTGGTGGGTGGGTGGGTGGGGGGGATTCACTGTTCTCCCCACACAGGCTCTGCAAGATAAAGAACCACTCACTCAGAAGCCATAATTTTCTCTTAAAACACAATTTCTTGCCAGTTCATTTGCTTCTGTGCTGCAAGGAAAATGCCGAAGTGATTGTTGGTCTAGCCTGAACAATGTTTTTGCTAAATTAAGTTTTGCCCATTTTTATTTTGAAAAGGTGAATTACATGTCTATTTTCCATTTATGGGTGGTGTTTCATCTGTGCTGCTGTTGATGTAGTGTGGAATGATAAGCAGGCATCTTGCTGCATGTTTAGGTTCACTAGTGACGCAAGGTAGGAAATAAATGAGAGAAAAACAAGAAAGAGGTCAGGGAGACCACTGTGAGTCATCTTCTTTCTGGCAGCTAATGAATCCACAATGCTGTGTGCAGGCCTCCCCTGAGTACAGTCACATGGATTTCACTTCCATTGCTATTGCATGTAAATGCAGCATTTTGCTTTTTGTTAGGCATTCACAGTGAATCACTATGTATGTTATGTGTGGAAAGTGAGTTTACCTTTACCTGTTCTCCCAGACTAGATGAAAAGTTTTGCCAGATACAGACGTGAAGCCATTGAGGTCATCTTACAATCTTTAACTATGTTTGATTTGCCAGTCTGTCCTAAAACTGTGATTCAACTATGCAACTCCATCCATCATTCATCCATCCATCAATCTTCTTCCGCTTTATCCGGGGCCGGGTCGCGGGGGCAGCAGCCTAAGCAGAGAAGCCCAGACCTCCC